AAACTTTATATTCGAGAATAGATTATTATCACATAACAAATTATCAAGGTTACTTAAAAGAAAAAGGAAGTTATTAAGGTTGCACGAAAATCATCATCGAACTCATTAAAGGGTTGTATGGAATTATATGGAGTTAAGTGGACAAAAAAAATAATTTAACAAAATAAAAAAATACAATTTGTGTGACCGTTACAACCTGTTATACGTGTCCCTGCGTGAGTAAACTTGGCACCTGCTGAGTGCTGCTCCATTCACGAAGACGTTTGACAGTTTGGATTTTTTTTTTATTTGTATAACGAAATACAATTATTTTTTATTTTTTATTTTATTTTATTTACATTTTATATGATTTAAATTAATGATATTTTATTTTTAATAAAAAAATAATTACTAAATTATTTAAATTATTAATCACAATTTTGATTTTTTTTAAGGAATGCATTGTCCGTTTTGCCACAGCAATACCCTTTATTACCACTCTTTTTCAGGTTTTTTTTTTTTTTTCAACACGAGTCTGTCCAGCAATTATATATATGGGGCGCAATTTTCCTGGAAAAATAACACTTTTTAAAGTTCAGTAAACTTAGAAAAAAAAAAGACTATTTCTTCTCACTTTATAAAAATATGTTGACTTGCAGGAAATGCAACATAAATTGGAATGATTATTTCTTATTTGTAAAAGTTTTGATGTTTTGTAGTTGCATCAATTTATAAACTTAAGTAATTTGATAAACGAACAATTCATAATATTGTATGATAAATTTTTATTTAATAATTTAAATTTTATAATTTAATACAATTTAAATGACATTATTTTTTCTTGTACTTTTAATACTTTCTTTTATATTTTAAGGTTGAGTTAAGATGGAACAACTTAAATTAAAGAGAATTTGTTATTAGTTATTAGTACAATACAATATTGCATCTTGTTAGAAGAAAATTAATATATGTAATGAATGACCGCTAATAATACGGATAAAAAAAAATTGCTCCTAATATGTCATGATCTCTCAAATTAACCTTATTGATGTTTTTTTAAAAAAAAAAACTTATTGTAATAGTTTGACAAATAATAAGTAGTCACTCCATCTAAGCAAACGTATGGATGATCATGACTACGAGTTTTATTAACTATTAACTCATCTTTCCATCTAGTTATAAGCATTAAATGCTCTCTCTACAATTGCAATACCTTATTTTTATGGAAGAATTATTAATAATCATTCTTCCAACAAATAATAGTAATTATTAAGTAGTGTGGGAAAATCTAATTGTGGCTCATAAATAATGGTTAAATATTAACAAGTTCACTTTGGGAATAAATAACGATGAATTCAACCATCTTTTCCCAAGAGTGTTTGATCTTTTAATTTGTAAGTTTAGAAAATAACTTATAAAGTAAAGTTTTTATAATTAATATAATACTTTTTGGATTACATTGTAACTAAATTATTAAGTTTGATTAATAGAGGAAAGTTTGTAAATAACTAAGTAAATTATTGATAAAAATTGCTTCCACACCTGTATGACTAGAGTTTTTAAATCTTTATTCCCCTCTCACTTCTCACCCCTCTTCCCCATAATGTTTAAATCAGGTGGTCTATCCCATAAAAATATATACATATATTGAGTTTGGTTAATTAATTATAATTCTATCTTTTTCTTTTTATCAATAGAAGAAATTATAAGAAGTGCTTCAATCCTTACAACTGAATATCATCCATTAGTTAACTAGGACATGTATCTCGATTGCATATTTTCAATTGAGAGACTGGCTTTTATAAATATAAACATTATCAAGATTATAACTTCAACTATGTAGGAAAATTAGTTGAAAAACTAACCCAAGCTGCCACTTGATATGGAACGGGGTTCAAGAAAAAAAAGATTTGGATAAACAATAGTGCCTGAAAATTGTGGAGATGCGAAGGACCCAAAAAGCAAATCGTGATCTGATCTTGAAAGTTTCAGTCGTATGGTCCCATGCGGCAGCTTCACATGTCGTTTTCAAGGTAGATCGGGATTAATCCTTTTTGAGTCTTGATGGTGACACTGCCATGTTATTCACAAGGTTAGTTTGATAATTATTTGAGGGATTAAGAGTCTGTTTGCCTGTTTGATAGGGTTATAGCTTATTAGCTTTTTTTTTTTTTTGAACATATTTTGCAAGGGGCAGTTTTGAATCCTGCCCGGGGAATGCATCGGTGGCTAATGCCACTGGGCCTCAAGGGCAAGGTGCAGCTTATTAGCCTTTTTTTCCTATCCAATTTTCATAAAATTTAATAAGTTATTATTTAGTAAAAGCAAATATCAATAGTTTTTTTTTTCATTTGCCATCTAGTTATTAATTAACACTTTAATACCTAAATAACAAACTATTATTTAATGAAGAAGCTAAACATAGATAGCTTTGCCTAACAGTCTTTATTTTTAAAAGAAATCTATCTAGCAAAATTTCAAACCTAAAAAATATCTCAACCATGGACAATGATTAATCTATTTGGATCTCATTATAACCCAAAAATATTATTTGCATCTCATTGACATTTGGGAAAAATTTGAGGGGTCAAGAAAAAAATTAAAGTACTCTCTAAATTTAGCGTGGAATTTCAAGATTCTTTCCACGTGTAAGGACTAAAATCATGCCTAAATCTGACGCAATTATTTGTTTTGCATCTCCCTCTCAACTCAGTATATATCATCTCGAATAATTGAAATGGGATTGAAATGGTGCCAATGTTAGCCCCCTCAACTTGTTTGCTTTCTCACTCCAATCCTCAAACTTATTTCTGACTAATATGAGCTCGACAGTTAAAAATCAAAGTTAAAGAAAAAAGTCAACATATTGCTCACTTTTTGTTAAGTGAGTGTTAAAATGTAATCTATCCTATTGGAATTGTACTTTAGTTTGGAATTGTATTTTAGTTTTTGTTTTATTAATGTATTGTTTACACAACTTTGTCCGTCAATGTCGAATCCAATGTTATGGTTTTAGATATGATAGAACCATTTTATATTGATATAATCAAATGAAATTACGAATTCATTTCTCATCAAACATTACCTTATCAACTCCACAAAGTGGTTGAAAAAAGGTAAGACTAAGACCTGAAAATATTTGGCAAAAAAGAGCAAGGCCTTAAAATTTTGAGAGGATAATTAACTATAGTTTTTCTTGTTACCTTGGATTTTAATTAACTATATTGTATAATCACTACAAGAAAACTGATTTTTGGTGACAGAAATTTGTGATGAAATTTGAAATCATCACTATAACTTATCACAATTGTGACAGATCTAAAAAAATAGTCACAGATGCATACATATTTAATGATAAACAAAAAAATTCATCATAAAAAATATATTTCGTAAAAAAAATGTTCATATAAATAAAATAAGTTTTTTTGGATAAAAATCATCACTATAATCCATTACAATTCTGACAAAATTTTAACACACATTCAATGATGACCAAATAATTTATCACTGAAAAATATATTTCATCACTAAAAACTATCAATTTTCTCTAATCAATACATCCCACATCGATAAAAAAAAATAAAAGAATAAGATTTTACACTATAAATATATCCTACATCGATAAAAAATATTTAAGAAAATAAATTTTTGTACTATAAAACATGTGTAACTCAATAAAACTTGAGATTAGTTTGGGCTTGATTAATTTTAATCGGGCCTGATTAATTTTAATCGAGTTTGATTAATTTTAATCAAAATTAATTAGTATTGAAATAATAATATTTTTTATTAAAATTTTGTGATAAATTT